TGATGATGATGATGATGGTGATGATGACGGTGATGATGGTGATGATGGTGGTGGTACTGGTGGTGGTAGAAGAAGAGGAAAAGAAGGAAGACCGGGAGTAGAGGAGGGACCAAGATGGGGAGAATGAAAAGAAGGAGGAAAGGAAGGAGCAGCTGGAGGCCACTATGTGTGGGTAATTTACATTCCTTAGCTCATGCAGTTGTTCTAGTTATGCTCTGAGGTCTACACCTAAGGTGACCACGCATGCATTTATGACCAAGGAGATGTAGGTCAGAATTATGACTCATCTGAGGTCACCCTCTAGGCAATAGTCGAGCCAGCATTTGCCTTGTAATTTTTTTCTTGATACAAAGCCAACATTCGGGAGCGCCTGGGTGGCTCAGTAGGTTAAGCGACTGCCTTCGGCTCAGGTCATGATCCCAGGGTCCTGGGATCGAGCCCCACATCGGGCTCCCTGCTCGGCAGGAAGCCTGCTTCTCCCTCTCCCATATCTCCTGCTTGTGTTCCCTCTCTCACTGTGTCTCTCTCTGTCAAATAAATAAATAAAATCTTTAAAAAAAAAAACAAAGCCAACATTCGAACACGCAACCTTGAAGATCTTTTTGGTTCCAAGCCTCCCCATAGCACCCAGCACAGTGCTTGGCACATAGGAGGTGATCGATAAATGTTATATAAATCAGAATTTATTTCTAAAAAGTATTGTTATCTCTCTAAGTTATGCTTTGGGAGTTGTTCCAAGGCCTGTGGGTCATTTCTTTGCAAGTCCAAGTGGTGAAGATTTCTTCCTTCCAGAATGTGCTGGTTATTAAGCTATCACCTCAGCCCAAAACCCACCCTTTCCTGTGATTCACTCTGTGGCACAGGGCCTGGGACCCTGCAAACCCATTTCCGTGCAGCCAGCTGCTGCCTCTGTGGCGAGTGGGCGCTAGAGAGAGACTGCAAGGTTGGAGGGGGAAGTGGGCCTTGCTCTTTTCCTTTTGGTTGCAATTCTCCTGAGCTGCATAAGCCTCACTTTTTCACCTTAGCAATGGCCCTGCATCTTGGCGGCAGCACTTGGTAACCACCTTCAATTTTTTCCAACACCCCCCAAAACCCATTGCATTCCCTCAATGCAAAGGGTAGTGTCCCCTCCTCAAGAGGTCCAGATCCCAGCTCTGTGGGGTCCCCTCTCTGAACTTCTAGGTTCTAACACCTGTCCAAACAATTCCCTATAGCAAATTCTCTCTGTTAAAATAACTAATGTGCTTTCTTATTTGGGACTGGACCCTGGCTGATGCACAAGGTAAATTTGATTTTGGACTGTAACTACTGTTGGACCCAGGTCTTGGAAAAAAAAAAAAGAAGAAGAAGAAGAAGAAGAAGAAGAAGAATCAGGTTGTCTGATTTTTGCATTTTACATCAGAAATAAGGCTTCACGATGAAGAAATGAGATGGATGTTCTCATATGACTTACTGAACTCTCTCCCACATCTTGGTTTTGGTTTTCTATTTTTACAACCTTGACAGGCAAGGGTGTGAGCATAATGAGCCTGGGAAGTCCAGTGTCCCAGTAGGCAATGGCCAGACCTCCCCTGGAGTCTGGATTTGACCCCTGCCAGCACCCTCCCCTCTGGCCTCAAGGACTGGGAAGGGGTCACTGCCATCCTTTTAATGTTCCCAATCGAGGCCCTGAACTCTTTCCTGCATTTATCCTTTGAGCAGTGGCATCAACCTGAAACTGTCAAAAGACTTTTAACTTTTAAAACCTAAGGGAGGACAGCTGAGAAGTAAACACAAAGAGGGCATGAGTTAAAGCAAGCCTGGCATAGCTCACCATCTAGAGTTCGGAACTTGCTTGCAGCCTGCCCCTCGAGAAAATCCAGAGAAAGGTTGTTTTTCCTCATTAACGAGCTCTTGGATGGTGTCCCCAGAGCCAGTGTCATTTGCCACCCACATCCAGAGATGTGATGAGGATGCTAATAATGGTAAGTTCATGTATTAACTCACTTAACCACCCTATGAGACAGATGCTATTCTTAGCCCCAACTGACAGATGACAAAACTGAGCCACAGAGAGGCTAAGTAACTTTCCCCATGTCACTCTGCTGGTAGGTAGCAATCTGGGGTATGGATGCAAAGAGTCTAGATCCAGAGCCCCCCTCCTAGCCAAACTTCCAGTTCTTTTCTCCGGGATGTCCCTCTTTTCTGGGCAGGTCACTGTGCAGGGGCATGGCCTCACTCTTGCAAACTGCCATCGACTAAGAGCTTACCTCTTCACAAGGCAGCCTAGATTGTTGGAAAACTCCTCATATTGGGCTGGCATTTCCTTCTAGTCTCTTCCACCTTTTGCTCTTGGGATTTCCTTTTAAAGACACATAGAACGAATGAATCTACGTGTCACATAGAGTGAATCTATGTGTCTTTAAAACCAACATGAGTCTCTTTCTGAGTTTTCTCCTGTCACATTGTCTGGGATAATCCAGATCCACCGCCTCCAAGTGGTGTGACCTAGGATACGTTACATAACCCCTCTTTGCCTCTGTATCCTCATCTGTGAAATGGGAATCATGAAAATGTATTCCTCATTGGGTACTTTACACGTGAAGCCCCTGTAGCAGTGTTGAGCCTACTCTCGGTAAAGGTGGGCTCCTGGTTCTGTTCTGTAGCTTTAACACCCCCAGTCTTTCTGATGGGGATGATAGTGAACTTGCTCTGTACACGATGTGGTTCTATGGAACCAGCCATGCATTTTGTGACCCTGCCCTCTGTCTGTCCATCTCCACTGCCTCTCTCCTTAGAGCCTCTCAACCCTCCCCTGGATACATAGTCGGCCGGGTACCCAATCTGCCAGCTTCTAGTCTTGCCCTATTTCAACCCATCTTCCCCTTGGCTTCCATGCTGTTCTCAGTGAAACACAAATCTGATCTGGCACCTCCTCTGCTCAGATCCTCCCCGACTGCTCCTGAGTTGCTGGATAAAGCTCAGCCTCCTTAGTTTGACTTACAAGGTTCTCCTTGGTCTGTCCCCTGCTGACCTATCCGCCTCTCCTCTCCCGTCTCCCCTCCTGCTCCATTTTCAGCAAAATGAACCAACTCCCAGATCTCTGAGCCTCCCCTGACTTTGAGCCTACCTGCCTCGGGCCTGATACCCTGGGGCCTAGCACAGGGCCTGGTGCGCAGCAAGGGGACCGGTAAGCTCTGGTTGATGAATGGGCGGGTGGGATAGTGCATAAAGTGAGTGCTCTGTAAGCCAGTGTGACATCCATGTCAGTTCATGGCATTATTTTTTCCAGGGGTCATATTCAAAATCTGTAACCACAACTGTCTGGTCTGCCAGTAGGGTCCTGCAGGCCTCCTGATGGACCAGGCATTAACCCTTTAGTTGATGGATTGTGAGGAGGTTTAGGGGGTCCAGGGGGATAGTGGGGGTGGGGCACAGGCTCCAAGGAGCAGTGCTTTTTTAACAGACCGGTTTGGAAGCATCTCAATATTTTAGCTGTGCCTGTTTCCACAGAAAGCTCCCTCCCCATCCCTGGGCCCTGTTTGCTTCCCTCTCCCTGGCTTCCCCTGGCCCTGTCCCACCCCCAGCCTATCACTATTTGGAGGCTTTTATTTTGAAGCCTGCTCAGGGTCCAGGTGACCCGTTTTTTCCAGAATTTGTCCACAGGGCTTGGAAAGGCTCCCTCCCCACATGGCACTGTGGACACCCATCTGGCCTGGTTCTTTAGCTTAAAGGTCCCTCACCCCGGGGCTGCCCACTCAGGATGAGGGCAGGGAGCTCTTAGCCCGTTCTTCTCATCTTTCCCGGTGCACACGACATAAACAGCAGGGGGTGGCATGGAAAATCATGATTTCACACCCGAGACCTTCATCCAGATCGGTTTGCAAATTGCATTAGCCTTTGAGACAAGAGTTTAGTACCCACATCAAAAAGTGAAGGGTGTTGCTTGCTCCTCAGGTGGCAAGGATGGAGCTCTTGGACTGGACAGGAGCTGGATGACATTGCACTGGCCTCTGGATGTGCCCATGGGTCAGGTAGGATGACTATCTCCAAAGGGTAGACCCCTCTGCTGTGTGTCTTCCTGTTCTTCATGGCCTGTGCTTTCCATCAGGTGGCACACTGGGCCCCGGGCAATTCATTCTCCAATCCAAGCTACAAGTTCCTCATCTGGGAAAAGAGGCATAATGTAAAGAAAATTTTTAAAAAAGCACATGGCTGTGTGGAAAAATGGAATGTCTGTCATGCTTCACTCCTGGAGGAGGTGGTAGAGGATGACTTCCTAGTTCAGGAAAATGCCTCGATTAATTTTAGGGTCATTAAAAAGGGGCAGCCTCCTGGGGCAGAGTCTGGATGGAAGATGTTTATGCACACACAAAGGGAGAAACCCCTCTGCAGAGAAAAGGTAGGACGTTGGTGTCTTCTCCCTTCTGAGCATTTGCTGACATTATAGAGAAAAAATAGAAAAAGCATGATCCCACAAAAACAGGGAATAGAAAGGAGGTATCAAGAAATGAGAGATTGCAATGCACTTTTGGAAGGGGCTTTGTCTGGAATGATGGTGCCATATTTAGAAAGGCCGAAGAGACTCAGCAGGCAGAGGGCACATGGGGAGAAGGAAACAGTGAGCCTCTAGAACCCCAGCAAGGTCTAGATGCAAGGGGAGTGGTGGAGGGGTTGATGGTGTGAGATGAGAGCTGGCGGCCAAGGGCTTACCCTTGAGCCTCCTACAGGAGGTTTACACTCTGGAGATGGCAGAGAGGAAACTCTCAGGACACCAAGGTTGCCGGCATGACAGAAGGCAGGGACAAGACATGGGGCTGAAAGCAGGGTATTTTTTTTTTTTTAAGATTTTTTATTTATTGGGCGCCTGGGTGGCTCAGTTGGTTAAGCGACTGCCTTCGGCTCAGGTCATGATCCTGGAGTCCCAGGATCGAGTCCCGCATTGGGCTCC